GGTGTATAAAAATGCAACTGCGTGAAACACACAGGTGTATAAAAATACAGAAGTAGTATAACACTTCAACTGCGTGAAACACACAGTAGTATGAAACTTCAACTGCGTGAAATACACAGCAGTATGAAAATTCGGCTGCGTGAAACACACAAACTTCACGCATGCGTGGAGTGTATGGAGTGTACGGGAGTGATTCACGCAATGGTGCGAATAGTCACGGCCAAAATTTTATAGAAAAACCTGAACTAGTTTTTAAAAATTCTATTGATTCTCTGTTAGAACTCTTCAAGAATTCTCTTGAAGTTAATTAAAATTCTAATTCATAAATGCAGCATTACGGTGCGTTTTTCAGTAAATTATGTTTTCTTTATGTAATAACTCATTCGTTATTATGAGAAAAATTTAAATCTCTTGATTTTTTCCATGAAATATGCTCTCAGAGAAAATTCTACATTTTTCTATTCAATTTCTCTTCATTCCTTTCATTTTTGGATGACAAAATCCATTTTTCAACTGAGATAAAAATATTCTTGAGCGAAGAACTTCAAAATTCCTATTTCAAAAGCCCATTAATTACTGACACAAGTATAATACTCTCAATAAAAATAATATTCCTTGTATTCATTAACATTTATGACTCAGGAAACAGCTCCCTCCGTCATTTTCTCATCACAAATTGAATGAATACGATCAATAAATTTATTTTCAATGGAATGTAACGTTTCATTGGCTTGAAACATCAATGATGCAGTGTAATTATCGACAGATTGGTCTTCCGAATGCTGGAAAAAGCACCCTCCTCCGTGCAATAAGTCGAGCACGCCCCAAAGTGGCATCTTACGCTTTCACAACCCTGAAACCTCACATAGGAATGGTGCAGTATGATGATTACGAGCAGATAGCTGTTGCCGACTTACCTGGGCTCATTGAAGACTCACACAAGAACAAAGGCCTGGGGATAATGTTCCTTAAACATGCGGAAAGATGTGCTGCATTGCTATTCATGCTGGACGTCAGCCTCGAAGAGCCCTGGGATCAGTTGGACATTCTCAGGAATGAAATCAGTCAGTTCAGTGATAGATTGAACCAGAGGCCCAAGCTAGTCATTGCTAATAAGATCGATATCCCTGGGGCTGAGGTAATGAAGAAAATTAACTCCATTGCATCTCATTTTCAAAAACAATAGGTCTTGATTCATGATCAATTGATTAAACTCTTTCAATCACATAATCATCTTCTGAAGAAATTCTTTTAGTGTAAAAAGTCTAAAATCTTTTTATTAAATTAGTTTTGAGGCTGTGCAAGGACTTTTTATTAAATTGATGAACTTGTTTAGGAAAAAAACAAATTCTATTTTGCATGAACTTGATGTTATTTTTCCAATTGCAGGAGACGCTGAAAAAACTGAAGGAAAAAATCGACATCCCAGTGATTCCAATATCCGCAAAAACGGGCACCAACATCCCAACGCTGCTTCGAGAAATGCGAATCCTCTACGACCGAGAGCTATCAAAAATCGCCAAGAATAAATCAGAAGCCGCTTCTGAGTAACTTGAAATCTATATTTTTCATGTAAAATAGGAAATATATAAAATCCAAGAAAACGTCTCGATCGATCTCTCTAAATTCCACCATCAACAGCCTTGCAGCCTTCTAATTCCATAATTAACTCAAAAAAATGTGTCACATTAATGAACAACAGATGCTATTAACCAATAACTTAATAAAAACTGGAGTAAAATTATGGAAATCTGTTTGGAGCGCCATAAAAGTCAATAAGAAATCCCAATAATAAATGCCAAGCGTGCGCCGAACAACTTGAAATCTATATTTCTCATAAAAAATGTGAACGTACAAAATCCTCGAAAATGCGTTGACCACCTCTGCCCCCCTAGGCCCCAAGTTTCATATCAGCGAATTCCCTAGCTATTTTGAGAGCCTCCTCCAGAGCGCCCACATTCCCCCCAGAAGCCTGAGCAGACTCAGCCTTGCCACCGCCCTTCCCTCCCATCAGCGGCGAGATCGCCTGGATCCACTCATTAGCCTTGAGCCCCTTCCCAATAGCGCTCTTAGGAACAGCACTGAGAGCGACAATTTTCTTGGCCTCTTCGTCGACACTGAGGAACAGAGCGCTGGTCTCTGGAGACAGTGCCTTGACCTTCTTCAGGGCGCCATCGAGAGCCTTCGTGTTGCTCAAGGCCTCCAGCTGCTCCACGAGGACAGGCACCCCCACGTTATTCTGAATGATCTCCGCAGCCTTCTCCACGACGAGATTAGCAAGCCTGGCCTTGGCAGCACGATCCTCGTCGTCCAGAGTCTTCTTCAGGCCCTTCAACAGCACTCTCATCTCGTCCTTCCTCCAGTAGGGAATGACAGCGTGAGAAATGTCGTCGTTCAGCTCCACAATCTTCCTGACACTTTCCTTGGCATTCTTCAGGCAATCAGCCCCATTTATTTCCCTCTGGATGTCATTCAGCCTGTTCTGCAGCAGCTCGGCCTTCTTCAGGGCCCGCGTGGCCTCGGGCCCAGTCAGAGCTACAATCCTCCTGATCCCCTTGGCAATTGCCTCCTCGCTGGCTATCACAAAGTCCCCAATGTGCCCGGTGTAGTGCAGGTGAGTCCCTCCACAGAATTCTACGCTCGTTGTCGTTCCTGCTGGCCCCAGGGGGTCCTTCTCCAGCTCCTCCACGGGCACCCCCATGCTCACGATCCTCACTGGGTCCGGGTACGTCTCCTCGAACATCGCACGGAGCCCATTAACCGTCTTTGCTACAGCGAGTTTACTCTCTTTGGCGTAAATCTTCCTGTTGTCCTTCACCATCTCGGTGGTGTAGCTCTCAGTGTCCTTTACCTGGGCCGCTGACATCGCTCCCTTGTTCGTGAAGTCGAAGCGCAATCTGTCGGGGGCTACTAATGAGCCCTTCTGATCGGCCTCTGTGCCTGGGTGAACAGAAAATAAGGAATAATTGCAATTTCAGCGAAAATTCGAGCGGTTTTTGGATAAATTCTGTTGACGAATTCAGAAGGTTTAATGCGTGTTTTTATTTGCTGTAGAAACTATTTTGTAGAAAAAGGTTTATTGAGATATTTTCTGTAGGGATTCCTCGACAACAATTTTAAAGTTTTTTTTTTCGTTTTATTTTCCTCTCTAAAAAAAATTTAAAAATTCTAATTGAAAATTATAGAAAAACCTGACGTTTTCTCTAAGAAATTCTATTAAATTCTGTGGAAAAAGTTTTATTCAGATATTTTCTATAGGGATTCCTCGACAACAATTTTCAAGTTTTTTTTTATTTTATTGTCCTCTGTAGAAAATTAATTAAAAAATTCTAATTGAAGATTGGAGAAAAACCTGACGTTTTCTCTAAGAAATTCTATTGAATTCTATAGAAAAAGGCTTATTGAGATATTTTCTATAGGGATTCCTCGAAAATAACTTTCAAGTTTTTTTTCATTTTATTTTCCTCTCTGAAAATTAATTTAAAAATTCTAATAGAAAATTATAGAAAAACCTGGCGCTTTTTCTAAGAGATTCTATTAAATTTCTATTGAAAAAAAGCTCAGATGGGCTACGGAATTACTCAATCGAATCGGCCAAAAAATAATAGAAATGTCAATAGAAATTCAATCACAGGATCTTTTGTATCTCAAACAATAATTCATTTCTTAAGTTATTCATTTGTTATATTTTATTACCAAACAATAAAAAAAATAATGTTAACAACTAAAATAATATAAATATGATATACATATGGTAAATATTTTATTAATTTGTTTATTTTATTAATATACAAATTAATAAGAAATAAATAAATAAATGCTTCCGACTAAAGTTCCTCAAATAATAATTAAACAAGCGTCTGAGCTGGATAAAACTCACTACAAGGGACCTCTTCCCCGACGACTACAATCCCTCAATAACATAATCGAACTAAAATCTCCTGCCGTTAGTAATCCCATTATCTCAAAATAAAATAAAACTCCTCAAAATTGAACCTACCTAGAACCCTCCTCAGGGCGTAATTGAGGGCGTGCGTGGCGGAGTGATTGCTCATGACCAGCCGTCTCCTCGAGGTGTCGATATTCAGCTGTAGTTTATCCCCCTTCCTCAACACCCCAGACCCCACCGTTCCAATGTGTAGGACGTAGCCCCCTCTGACCTGGACGTTGGTCACCCTGACCTCCGCAGAGTCTTCTGCGTCGTTTCCCCCGGGGGACTTCACCAGGAAGCCCTCGTCGTAGATCTGTCCTCCTTGCTCAGCGTAGAAGGACGTCTTGTCCAAGAGGACGCCAACCTCCTCCCCAGGCTGTGCCTCCTCCACGAATTTTTTCTGCCTCCTCAGGGTTATCACCGTGGCACTGCAGGGGGCGAAGGTGTACTCAGCCGAGGCCTCCGCAGACGTCGAATAATTGTACTTGCAGGAGTCGTCGGTTGGGGGAACCCCAGAGCTCTGCAATTCCGTGATTGCGTGGACGTCCAGGTTTATCTGGTCGTCAACACCACCAGCTTTTCCCTGGGAGGCCAACTGCGCGAGCCTCTTGGACTCCTCGTAGGCTGCCATGTCGACCCTCAGGCCCTTCTCCTCGGCCATCAGCTGCGTCAGGTCCACTGGGAAGCCGTAGGTGTCGTACAGCCGCCAGGCAACATCACCGGGGACTGTTTTGTCCTCCAGTTTGGTGATGGTCTTGTCGAGGAGGTTGCGCCCTCGGGACAAGGTCTTCAGGAATTGGCTCTCCTCCTCGTTTATCACGTCCACGATGGACTGCGGGTCCTTCTGGAGCTCGGGGAAGATCTCGCCGAGGAGGTCCACCACCACGTGCACCAGGGAACCGAAGAAGCCCGGCTTTGCGTTCAGCTTTTCGGTGGCGTAGCGCACCGCTCGACGCAAGATCCTACGCAGGACGTAGCCGCGACCGGTGTTGTCCGGCATTCCACCTGGAAGATACGGTTTTTCGGCCGCGTGAAAAAGTTTACAGGAAAACTTGGCGAATTCGGTGGATGAGTCGATTCGCGGAGAAAAAAGTTTGATTTTGAAGGATATGTCAGGGATTTTCAGGATTTTATCGGCGATTGCTGGTGATACGGCACTGCTGAACAAATTTGGCCGAATTGGCCGGAAGACCTTGAATTCGATTGAATGGAATTTCAAGTTTGTCTGAAAATTCAAGTAAAGTCCACAATTTACGTGAATTTTCAAGGGAAAATGAATATTCACTGCTAAATTGCCTTGAATTTCACTGGGGAATTTCTTTCAAATTCTTGGAATTATTATATTCAGAGGCATTATTTCATTTCATTAATTTTACCGGAATAATTAAACTGATATTTAGAGTTCCCACGGATTTTTCAACGAAATTATCCATTTTCAATAACAAAGATTATTGAACTTTCAGTGAAAATGTTAGTGAAATGGTTATTTGATTTTCTTGATGGAAAGAAAAGAAAAATAGAATGAAAAAAATCAGAAAATTTGCGCCAAGGAAATTCTATAGAAAAACAATTCTTGAAATTCCCGCTGTAGAGACAAATCCCTGTAGAAAAAAATGTTCTATGGGAAAAAATCCTTGAAATCCTTCAAATGTCAGTGAAAATGTTACTGAAATGTTTGTTTAATTTTCCTGACATAAAGAAAAAGAAAATAGAACCCTAATACTATAGATTTTTCCCATAGAATATTTCCTATTGAATATTTCCCTTCTAACCGCCAAAAACTACCAAAAAGTTGAATAGAAATCCAATCAATCCAAATGCGCAAATGAGTTGCAATGGAAAATCCAATGAATCCAAATGACTCGATCAATGTTTATCATTTGGACCTCACAAATTTCATCACCTCGAATCAGCAAACGATCGCAAAGGCCAATACCTCCGAAATAACTTCAGTACTGAAGTGATCAAACGGCTTAAGCTAATTCCATTCTAGCGCCAGTTCTCGCTGAATATTCAAATTCTAAAGGAGCCAGCAAAATTTTCCTAAAAATCTTTTTCGTAGAGAAAAGTATAGACTATCGAAAAAGATCTTACAAAAATTCCGCATTCTTAAATTCCGAGTTATTCAACAAAAACTCGGAAAACTCTAAATCGAAAGAAAAATTGGAAGCTAAATCGACTTAAACCGATCGACACTTTTCTCCTGATTTATAAGATTCGTTGGAAAACGGCTCCAGAACATGGAATTTAAAATGAATAAAATGGAAATTTAATAGAAACATTTTCATCACGACCAGTACAAGTACGGAGATATCTTTGAGAGTCTGAAAAATCTAAAGAAATTAATTGCAAATAAGCCATTCGTCTTCGTTCCTCCATTAAAGAGTCCCAACATTCAACCCCAACTTTTAAATGAGCTGCTCAAATTTGTTTTTCCCAATTTGGTTTTCTATTAAATTTTTTCGCCCATAAAAATAAGAGCTCCTGACATACCATCAGCGAGAGCAATGGTGATGGTCCTAGCATGATCAGCGAGTACTCTGTAAGCCATATCGATGCCATCGCCATCCTCAGCCCCAACCTTCCCCGCGTAGGGGCGCGCCCCAGTGCCCACCTGTATGGCCTCGAAGAGGGGCACGAAGAGATCAGTGTCATAATTGGCTCTCTTATCCTGAATGACCGAGACCAGACGTTCGAGTCCAAGACCGCAGTCAATGTGCTTCTTGGGCAGACTGCGAAGGCTGCCATCGGACTCTCGATTGAACTGAATGAACACGAGATTCCATATCTCCAGGACATCAGGGTCGTCCATATTGACGAGATGAGCAGCTTCCCTGGCCCCAATGCGGTCGTAATGGAGCTCGCTGCAGGGTCCGCAGGGCCCAGTCTCCCCCATCTCCCAGAAGTTGTCCTTCATGCTGCCTGGGAGGACGTGGGAGGGTGGAATGCCCAGGGAGAGCCAGAGGTCCTTGCACTCGTCGTCAGGGGCCAGTCCTGCCCCCTCGTCGCCACCGAAGTACGTCACGTAGAGGCGATCCCCTGGCAGGCTGAGGACCTTGATTGATTGATTGATTGAGTTTATTGCTGTACATTATGTTGTACAAAATTATTGTGGCAAAACCACATAAGCTGGTATACAGTAAATCACAGTGAATATCATGGAGTAAACAATACATGCTAATAATAATAGGGGAGCATGGGGCAAAATGAAACACGGGTCAAAATGAAACAGTGGGTAAATCTCGTCATCTAAAGGAGATAGGACATTTTTGAAAAGAACCTTTTTTGTAGCTTGTAAAATTCTCTACAAAAAAGGTTTTCATGAAAATCGTTCTATCTCCCTTAGATCACAAGATTTTCTTGCTATTTCATTTTGCCCCGTGTTTCATTTTGTCCCACCGTCCCCTACAGAAAAAGCAGAGTAAGATGAGAAGGAGCAATATGCAACAGAAAGAGCAAGCTTCGGCGGGTCCTGAACAACCTTGGTGAGGAACTCCCAGGCCCACGTGCAGATCTCCCTCTTGAAGTAGTCGCCGAACGACCAGTTGCCCATCATCTCGAAGAAGGTGTGGTGGTACACGTCTTTACCCACGTCGTCGAGGTCGTTGTGTTTACCACCAGCGCGAATGCACTTCTGGGAGTTCACCACGCGCACCCAGCGGGACATGTCGCTGTTGGGGTCCACGGTGCCCAGGAATATCGGCTTGAACTGAAAATCGAGGGAAGTTGCAGGGGTTTTCTGGATTCTTTTGTGGGAGTTTTTAGAAGGGGAGCCATGGAGAAAATCTATTGAGTTTTGAGTGGAGTTCTGATGCCTGAGAATTCTAATTCAGTAGCGAAGTGGTGAAACGGACAAGTTAATTTTGACTATTGGCCAGGTTTCAATGAATATCTCGGAATCTAAGGGAGATAGTAACATTTTTGTTATGACCTTTTTTGTAGAGCCGATTGAGAGCTACGACAAATGTCATTACGAAAATTTCGCTATCTCCCGTAGGTGCGGAAATATTCCTCAAAATCTCAAGTGGGGGATGAGTCGACTTCAACCGTTTTACCACTTCGCTACTGAATGGGTTTCTGTGCGAATTTTATTGAGGTTCGGCAATTTTATTTTTATTTTTTGATGGTTATTTGGTAGAAAAAAATTGAGAGGTTTTTAATTTTCTGTGAAAATTTTGTAGCATCAGCTTTTCAAGTTTTGCCTCTGCATTTTTATCAATTTCTCGTCACACAATCCAAGAAGAAAAATCTTAGGAAGTTTATACTCGAGATTGCTCATATAAAGAGCAGAATTACACATCCAACAGAATATACAAAATACATAGAAAACTAAACCTCTACAGGACTTTGTCAACTAAAAAAAATAGAATTTCCCAATAACAAAGGAAAGAAAATGCAGCAAAAAATAATAATTTTGGCAAACGTGACCAATGGATTTCACTTTTTCAATACAATCTATTCCTTTGACATTTCTTTCCCCAAAAATTCCTGGGAATCACTCCCCATGTTCTTCACTGCACTCTCTCTGCAAAAATCTGCCCAAAAAAATTTGCTAAAATTTCCCCAGGGCCTTCCCCCCAAAGATCAACACCAAAATGATCACATTCATTGAAAAATCCCTGGATATCCACCTGGTTCATGCCAGCATTAGCGAACAGCAGTGTTGGATCATCATGAGGGATAGTCGAGCTCGAGTGGACGTACTCGTGGCCCTTGCTCTTGAAGAAGTCGATGTAGGCCTGGCGAATCTCCTTCGCTGTCATCGATCGATTCATCTTGTGATTTCTGAAACCACTGGAAGAAAACAATTATCACCCTCGATGCCATATGGCGTGCAGGCAACCTCGAAACCCGGTTGCATCAGAGATCAATAAATTGGCGAGAAAAAAGTACTCACGTCTGTGGCCACTGATAACGTTCACAAATCACTCCACCAGGTGATAACGTCCACCCTCAATCCTCGGAGATAATTTATGAGTCTGGAGAAATCGTTGAACTCCCGTTGACACTGATCCTGTGATCCTTTCTGTGGTTTTTTCACGAAAAAAATTCATGCAACACATGCGCTAGTGACTTCCGACTCCCCACGTTGCGGCCTGCATCGAATATTCGCCTCTGAATTCCCCTCAAATCATGCATTTCATCCTTCAATCAAAGATTTGAGATAGTTGATCGAGAATGGAATAAAAACAGGCGATTGTTGAGCAATTCCATCGCAAAGGGGCCCGATAAACAACAAAATCCTGTGAAACAGACGACGGCGACGAAATCGCCCAATTTCAATCTTCAATAACTCAAGATCGGTAGAGTGAAATCCAACAATTTTTTATTCATTCTAAAGATATTTTTTCGTGCTTTAAAAGGAGAGTTGACTAGTCCAAATCGCATCGTTAAATCTGGAGATATTGAGGATTGAAGCGGGTTCGTGCTGCGTCATCTTTTTTGGAGGGCACTGTATTCAACGTGCAATAACTCAGGATCCCTAGAGTGAAATTGGCCGATTTTTTTCTTATTTCAAAGATATTTTTTTACTCTTTGAAATGAGAGTCGACTCGTTGAAATCGCATCGTTCGATCGGGAGATATTCCCGATTTAGTCGGTTTCATTCTGCTTTTTCTTCTTTCATGGATTGAATTCACTGTTGACAATCGTCGAATTGCAGCCAACGGAGCGGAATTTTAAAAAATCTAGTGATTTAACTGGAGGCACTTCCCCACGGCTGGTATTTGTCATACGTGAGTGTGAATTGTTGATTAGAGACGTGTTGTTGATACTAAATCTATTATTAGTGAGGGATTCATACGTCGATCACTCGTCGAAATCAATTCTCCTGTTTTTGGTGGACAATTGGGGCGTTTTGTCGCTGGATTATCCGAGTGTTTACATTCAGCTCCGGTTTTGGAGTACTTGAGACGTTTGTCTGACTCCGAAATAGTGAACGAGAGGAGTTTGATAAGCTTCGTCAGTGGATTTCGCGACAGAATTTAGCAAATCAAAAGCCAAAATGTGCGCGAAAATGGCATTTCAGCACCAGGCGGGCACCGCTATGGAGTGCCTGAGTGTGAGTATTCGTCATCGATATTTTCTACATTAATCGCACCTTTACGTCACCTTTCTAATGATTTCCTATATTTTTGTTGCTTCTGTCAACAATCCAGAAGCGAATTGGAGAAAGTGAACATGAATTCATCTCAATTTCGCGTTGTTTTTCGTGAATATCTCAGAATTGAAGAGAGATATGGGAATTTTCATTCAGATCTTTCTTGTAGCTCTTGATTTTTCCTGAAGAAAAGGTCTGAATAAAAATTTCGCTATCTCTTTTAAATACGGAGATATTTACCAGTGACTAATAACGATGTTAAATTGATCTGAAGTGTGTTTCTCATGACAAGGAAAAGGCTCTCGAAGGTTTAAATAATTTTTATTACTCATGGAAAAGGAGGAATTTGACCGGAAAATCTCATGTTTGCAGCTGTGAGAACAATTAATTAACAAATGTTAACGAATGACTATTGATCTTCTATGGGAACTTTATAAAAATTCTACAGGAGTTCTGTTACAATGTTATTAAATATTTCCACTAGTTTTCTGCGTCTATTCTACTGAAGAGAGAAAAGTCAACAGTTTGTGATTTTTCTGTAGAAATTCTTGAGCTTAATTTTTTTTCGCTCTATTTGCATTTCTTTCTCATAAATAAAATGAGAAAGAAATAAAAAAATTATAAATGAGAATGATGTGTTGATCGGAGGAAGAAAACTTACTTATGAAAATCATGCCTGAGAATTAAAAAAAAGCAACAGTCACAAAAAACATTGACAGTATTTTTCATCTGTCTTAATTTTTTTTTAAATTTTTTAACGGAATTTATTGCAAGAAAATTACAAACAACAAAAAAAAAATTTCTTACAATTGCCATCGCCCGAGGGCCTTCAGCCAAGTGTTTCCATAAGTACATAGTATACAGTAATAATTTGTTGGGACAACATCTGTNAAAAAAAAAAAAAAAAAAAAAAAAAAAAAAAAAAAAAAAAAAAAAAAAAAAAAAAAAAAAAAAAAATTTTTTTTTAAAAAAAAAAAAAAAAAAAAAAAAAAAAAAAAAAAAAAAAGTCTTATGAAAAATTCTCTGCAAAGAACTCCAAAAGAATTCGCAAAAGTTCCACAGAAATTCGCTAGAATCATCAATTTCCAATTTCCAGATACCAATAACCCTCCGCAAAGAGACTGAGATGCTGAATGGCGAGGCATTCATGAAGTGTGGCTTCAAAATAGGGGGAGGTATCGACCAAGACTTTCGAAAAAGTCCCCAAGGCTACACAGACAACGTAAGAGCCTCCCCAGACTGCCCTCAGCAGAGTAAATCCCATGAATAAATAAAGATAATTCATTTCCCCAGGGGATTTACGTGACTGAAGTGCATGAGGGGTCACCAGCAGCCAAGAGTGGCTTGAGAATTCACGACAAAATTCTCCAGTGCAATGGCTACGACTTCACGATGGTCACCCACAAAAAGGCCGTTGGCTACATCAGAAAACATCCTGTACTGAACCTACTTGTAGCACGGAAGGGCGTCACCAGCACTTGAATACATATCAATAACTTAATCACGTGTGGAAGAATTTAATAGAAAAACCTAGCACTTTCTGTAAGAAATCCCATTGAAGTTCTGTTGAAATTCTATTTATTTTTTGCGTCTATTTTTCAGTCGATTTTTTATGGAAATAAGTCTAAATGTTGATTTCCCTAATTACTTATTCTGTTGGAATCGTTTCTGGAAGAATTCTTGGGCATCAATTTTTTACTTTTTGTCGTATTTCATTAAGAGAAAAAAATAATAAAAATGCAAAATATTAATTTATATTAATAACTTAATATTTAATTAATATAAATTAATTGAATAATTAATTTAATATTAATTTTGTATTGATAAAAGTACAGGGGAAGAACTTGGAAAATTTATGTCCAATTTCGTTCGAAAAATCAAAATGTACTAATTGTCCTCTAAAACTCGATTTATTCTGTTGAATTTTTTTTCATTTTAAACTTTCTATTTTTTCTTGCATTTCATTATGAGAACAAAAATAGTAAAAATGCAAGAATTTCTATCAAAAAATCAAAATCTATTGAATTAAAAAAAAAAGAATAATAAGATTATTTAATAGAATTTTAACAGAATTCCAATGAAACTCTCAAAGATTTCCCTTCAATTTTTAATATTGAAAGAATTTTTCAAAGTTTTTCTATTCAATTTTTCCAAAAGTTATGGTACGTCGTGTACCATTCTCACCGGGAATCCATTTAATCAATGAATTTTGTACATCACGTTTGTCAAGTCGCGTTACCAATGAGTCCCCCTAGTGTTAACTCCATTCCATACGACAGATTATTGTTAAGATAACCCGTGATAATGGTTTCATTAATTACCAAATGATTTTAAATGTAAGAGATTGAAAATTCGTTAGTTGTAATTGCCAATTAAGTGAGGCTAATCATCATTATTTCGACCTATCCGGCCAATTATAGATGAGAAATGAACAAATTGTACTTCCAATTAACGACTCAGTATTGAACAATTGCAATAATTGCTGATGATTGAGATAATTCTTCTCTTGAAAGGGAGAAAAATGGGGGAGGGGCAAAATCGAGGTTTTCTGCGGAGAATATCTCGACATTGACTGAGTGAAATTTCGCATTTTCTTCTTCATTTTGAAGCTTGAAAAGATACCTTCAAAATGAGACCAAATCCACTGAAATTCCATCGTTTGATCGGGAGATATTCAAGATTTTGAAACTTCAATTTTGCCTCTTTCTCTGTATCTTGTTGCTTGCAATTGTAAGATAGGTAAAAATATATTTATTTAATGGAAAAATGTACGAGTCTTGTTGAGACTCATCTCGTCAATTGCCAAGTAAAGTTAAAAGTCCGATAACAATGAAATTTATGATGTCTCGAGGAGAATTTTACGAGATAATTTTGTGGATTTAAATCATACGAAAAAATTCCATAGAAAACTCCAGCGAAGTTGCTAGAAAATTCTATTCTATCGGATTTTCTTGGATTTTTTAATGAAAAAATAAGAACAATATAATAGAAAATACTTGAAAGTCACGTCGAGGAATTTTTATAAAAAATTTCTCAATCGAAAAATATCCATAGAAAGATGAAATTCTGATTTTTTTAATAAATTAGATTCCATTTGAAATTTTCCACAAAAAAACGCGCAGTAAAGCTCCAAAATCTCTAGAATCAGCCAAAAACTGACAGAAATCCAATAGAATTTTCTATCGATTTTTTTCGCGTGTTGATGTGCTTCGTATCAGTGTTCATCGCATATAAATAAAAGAAAAAATTATGAAAAATCGTTGAAATTGTAGAATAAAAAAAGACGCCTGAATAATAGCCGAGAGATTGTATGTATTAATGTTTATAAAATTTTCTAAAACGCATTTGTTATCAATTCGGTATAAATATATGATAAAACGACCAAAGTGCGAAAAAGTGCTCAGATGTTGACACAAATGATCAATTTCACCGACATTTATTCACCAATTTCCAATTTTCTACTTTACAAATCTTGTACTCTTATTGTAATTACATTGTTTTTTTTAACTAACTCTGTGAATTGTCCAATAAACTCGATAACTTGTGCTAGCACGTGCCCTTCTGAGTTAATCCTCCAGTCTCTTAATTATTGATTGGATAAAAATAATTATGGAACTAATTCAGCTCCCTTCACTTATTTCGATTTATTAATCTTACATTATTGTTCTCAAGGCAAATTAATAATGCATCGTCACTTTTACAGTAGAAAAGAAGATATTTCTGGTCGCATTCAGATCCTCGACAGTTCTCTCATTCAATCTAAATAATCCATCATCAGGTGCAAGGGAAAATCAAAATACTAACGGAGTCCCAGGGAAAAATATACAGTTATCAACTCATCCCCAACAATTGAAAAAAAAGTCTTCGAAAGGTCGAACAGGAGTTCTTTTGATTGTTGCATTTCTCAAAACAATAATCAAGATATCAAGACAATCCACAATTCCTGGGGATTATTACAAACGAAAGTCAATCGGAATTGTCTCCAAAAAATTTCAATTCTAAGAACAACAGACAAATCCCACGTGATTCGATTCTTCTCGAGATGGAACAACTTTGTTCATATTTTCCGAGTTTTTTTCTTGGATTTGAAGAGAAATCAAAATCTATTGAATTTTCAAAATGTTAAAAAAAAGATGTTTTGAGCGGAATTTTAATAGAACCCCAATAGAATTTCTGCGAAGAATGTCTAGGTTTCTCCATTAAAGTCCCCACACTCAGGCTCATCACAAACGTGTCCTAATTCTTCATCCCTGGCTTCACGACTCATTCATATCGGTGCTGTCCTCGTCCCACTCGTCAGCGAGTTCCCTCGTCTCCTTCTGCTTGTCAGTCTCGGGCTCGAGATGCTCCTCCTCAATGATCATCATGGACTCCTGGCCCTGGTGCTCCTCATACTCGACGATCTCAGTCTCCTCCTCGACATACTGAATGACCTCTTCGATGTGCTCAGTCCCCTGCTCCCCCTCCTGCATCTCCTCGACCTCCTCGACGACCTCCTCCACCTCCTCGACCTCCTCGACGATCTCCTCAGTCTCCTGGCTCACCTCCTGCTGGAAGGACTCGTAGACCTGCCTCGCACTCTGGTCCTCATTCCCATGAATGTAAACAATCATTCCCTCGTCTGTTCCCTGCATCACCAGCTGCTCATTACTCGATATCTCCAGCTGCTGGGGTTGACTCTGACTCGGCTGCCCCTCGTCCTGCTGATAGTTCTCGTTATCTATCAGCATTATCATCTGCTGGTCCTCGATCTCATGGCCATTATAATTTTCCTGCTGCTGCATGTTGTTTAATACCATCTCGTTCACCAAGTAGTTACCCTCAGAGGTTATCACCTGTTCATCCTGTTGAATTGATCAGAAATTTCATTAAATATCCTTTAGAATTGGGTTTGATGACTTTAGCATTTTAGGATTAATTTATATTATTTTATCGTATTTTATCTTATTCCAATTTTCGTCTTCACAATTAGATTAATTGAATTTTATTCTTATTATGTATGTTTTTTTCCGAATAATGGAAGAATACCCATAAATTTGATTTCTATCCTTATCTTTTGATAGAATGAATTGAATGAATGACAGAAATTGAGAATTGGAGACTACAAATTGGATTATTAGTATGTAATAATTGATTGATTAAAATAATGATTTCATTGAGTATTTTAGCGATTGAGGAAAATTAGGGGGTTTTATTTAACACCTAGTGCTTTCTCTGAGGAATTCAATTAAAGTTTCAGCACGATTTTAGTAAACTTTTCTATTTTGTTTTTATATGAGAATTCTTAGGCATGGATTTTCCGAGTTTTTTTATGGGTTTCATTATAAGAAGCAAATTAAAATACAGAGAAACGATAGAAAGTTTATGGACTAGGAATTTCTATAGAAAAATCAAAACCCATTGACTTCTTTCAGTCAAATATCAAATAAAAAATGATACGCTGAATTTTAACAGAACTCTAAAAGAATTCTTATTTAATAATAGAGTTATTAGAGTACTAATAAAAAATTCTAATTGTTTTTAGTGCCATAATGACCCAAATAGAAAACCCCATAAATGTTTTTTCTACAAAACTCACTCTATTGGAATTTGTTCTACAAGAATTCCATCATGAATCAATCAAATTCTCTCTGAGATTTCTCTTTCTTTCCTGCGTCGATAAATCCGAGTAAATAATATCCACTTAAACAAAAAAGTAAATAATTTCCAATTTCCCTGAACTAGCTATTCTCGCCCCTCCCACCACAAAAAGTAAAAACGAAATTTTTCCATAAAAAAATCCCCACAAATCACCACATATTAACTTTCCCCATCCATCCCTCGAAAACCGCACGTAAAAGTCCAATAATTCGCCCCCAACCCTAAAATCCTGAAATAAAACCTAAAAATCACCTGCTGCTCCTGATCGAGTCCCTCAGCCACCCCCAGGGAGGCGGCGATTCCTGAGGCGACATGACTGAGTGCCTCAGCCTCACTCGACGGTTCCAGTGGTATCCCCGGCCCCACCTCCGCCACCTCCCTCTCCTTATGAGCGCTCTCGACATGCACCTGAAGATTGACCGGTTTGATAAACACCTTGGGACAAAGCGAGCACTTGTACCCCTTGTCCCCATTGACAGTGGGCACACTGGTGCCATGCCCAGTGCTCATCTCGTGACTGGCAAGTTCACTGACATCCTTAAAAGTCTCGCTGCACTGAACACACTCCACCTCGTCAGTCTGTGAATTGAGCAGTGACCTTGGTCCATGATTGTGAGACTTCTGGTGTCTAGCCAAGAGTGTGTCAGACAAGCCTACGTAGTTGCAGGCATGGCACTTGGGGAAGCTCATGCTCTTGGGGGGTGGGACATTGTGCTTGACGTACATGTGGTGCATGAGAATGTTCCTCTTGGTGGCCTTGTACCCGCAGTGCTCGCAGACCCTGGGATCGAACTTCTCCTCGTGAACGTCCTGCATGTGCCTCCTGTACATGTAGTACGTGGGGTATTCCTCGTCAATGTCGCACTTGTGACACTTCCAGGGGCCACTCTCGCCCTCAGCCAGCAGCACCCTCTCGTCCTTTTCGTCGGCTGACATGAGATGGTCCGACTTGAGGACCACGTAAGACACCTTGGTCTTCCCAGCTGCTGACTCCGCAGTCTTCGACTCCTTCTGCATTATCTTTAGGCGAATGTTCTTGTTGTTCTTCACGAGGTGGGGGTACTTCTTCAGGACCTCGCGGATTATCTTGGCGTGGTTGTTGATGTTGTCCACTGGATTGTTCTCCGGCTTCTCGAGGTTCTCCTTCTCTTCGAGCTCGAATCTGCAATTTTTTTTATTTTTGAGAATGGGAATGCTCGAGGAGTTTTGGGGAGGGAACATCGATCGAATAATGATGAGGGCTGCACTCAGGATTTTTAGGTGAATGTTACATTGAGGGGGTCATTAAACATTATTAATACGTGTGTACACTTGGATTTATTCAAGAATCTAACGAATTCGATGGGATTTCTATTGAAGAATTCCGCTGTTTTACTGGGTTTTTTACGCGAAATTTTTAATAGAAAGTATTATTTAGAAAAAATCAGTAGAATGACATCTTTTTATAAAACACTTTCTACAGAAATTCCTCGACCTGATTTTATTTTTGCCTTCTTTTCATTAAAAAAGAACAAAAAAATCTCATAAAAGAAGTTATATCTGTAAATCGGATTACATCAATTTTTTTCTGTAGAATATTTTCCATTGACAATTTCTATTGAAAAAAAAAAGAAAATAAGCTGCGAAATTCTTTAGTAGAATCAGATAAAAATACATAGATAGAACGTTCAATAGAACTCCAATAGAATTTTCTAGTGGAAGAGAGTGAGACCTCATACTATTCTACATAAATAAATGGAAAAATGAATAGTCGAGTCTCACGCCAAAAGTCGTTGGTTGGAGCCTTTCGTAAATAATAAAAATCTCAATTTTCCAAAGGTAAATTTGTAGCGAAGTGGTAAACTACGATAAGTGCAGAAATGTAACTTTTTCAGGAGTTCAAAAATTTAACCACGTTTGACAGAATTTTCGATTGAGGTAATAGAAAAGTTATCAAAAAAATTGCACTTATCCTAGTTTACCCCTTCGCTACGGAACTCATTCTATCAATTTGTTTTTCTACATAATACGAACACCTGAACATACCCTCGACCAAGAAAATTGGCGGGCGGGGGGTAATGTAAATATTGAGATGATATTGAATTCTCCTTTTGCCCTCCCTCTCCCTACAATTTCTTGGGATTTAATTCCCCTTTTATTTTTCTCCTGCCACCCCATGCGCATTCTCTTCCCTCACTAAAATCATTCACCCTACAAACCTGACTCGTTTGGAGGGCGTGGGCTGAATCTCCTCAGACCTAGAGTTTGGTGGTGTCCACTCATCATCAGAGTTCTCCGACTTCCTGGGATCGTCCTCATCCTCATCCTCCGTTGTGTCATTCTTCGCCATGTCTGACGTGGAGCGATTGAACGAGGGCTCCTCAGGAGGCGTCGAGTGATCAGTGGCCTTGACAATGGGTTTCGTGTTGTAGGTGATATCGTCGAAGGAGGAGAAGACCCCCAGGGTGAGGTCCTCAGCGTCTGGCAGCTCGAAACGCGAGGGACCAGCTGTCACTTCTGGCTTACTCTCCAGTTTCCTTCGCCAAATTGGGAGTTTTCGTCCTGGTAGTGGAGTCATCGATAACGACTGCATGCTGGACTTCTTGGGGGACGAGGGCTTGTGAAAGGATATGTTGGATTTATCTGGGGAGGGGGGACTCGACGTCTGGAGGGCAGTGGTGTTGAATTGAGCGTCCAGGAGCTTCGTCAGAACTGTCATGTTCATCTTCTGGGCTGTTCGGTACAGGGCGTTCTGCTCTGATGTCCAGTATTCCAACTGGCCTGTGTACATGAAACTTATGATGGATTTAACGCACTCGTAAGGCATGTCTGATGGCATTATCAGGACTCCATCGAAGTCACCTTGCTGCTCGCGCTGCTTGCGCTCAAGTTGCATGAAGTAGTCTGTGCAGGTCGTTATTACTAGACGGTGGGCCTGCGAAAAAGGAAAATATAGTGCTTGATCCCAGGAATTCTATTGGTTTTATTAGGATTATAATAGAACATTCTTAGGCATGAATTTTTCACGTTTTTTAATTCAGTAGGGAAGTGGTAAAGGGTAATAAGTCCATTTTTGCTCAAGATGTTTTTTTTTGAGGAATATCTCTGAATCCTTATGCTCGAAGGACGAAAAATTATAATGCTATAACTGTTATAGGCGAGGGGCTACAGGGGTAAATTATTAAATTCAGAGTTGAGCACTTTAAACAATTTTTTTAAAAATCTCTGAATCCAGAATAGATGGCGAAATTGTTGTGGGGACTTTTTTTTAGCTGCCATTCTGCTCAATAAAAAAGTCCTCACAAGAATTCGGGTATCTTATTTGAATTCAGAGATATTTATAAAAAACTCACGTCCGGGATAAGTCGACTTATTACTCTTTACCACTTCGCTACTGAATTGGGTTTCATTGTGAGAAGCAAATGAAAATGCAGAGAAAAAAAAGAAAGTTTATGCGGAGTTTTTTCTATAGAAAAATAAAAATCTATTGACTTTTATATCTATTGAAAAATGACATGGTGAAGTTGTATAATTATCTGTAGAATTGCAGATAAGCAAAAAAACAGCCGAAATATTATTTGGAGAAGATGTAAATCTTGTGAATGGGGATTTTTTGCTGGATTTTATGAATTACTTTTTTAGGAATTTTTATGGAATAACTGTAGAATTTCCATAAGGTCGGATTAATCAGTTTTTGCAATTTAATACAGTTGGGAATAACTGATTAGATCAACATCAATAATTGATTGTTGACATTCTCACATATTTTTCATTAAGATTCAGTATTATTTAAATGAATATAAGTATATAAGTATTATTTAAATGAAAGAAAGTATTAATGTGGAAATAAAACTGCAATGGCGAATGTTTCAATGATCATAAAGAGCAAAATTCCTTCGACATTAATTGAAGAATAACTCAAAAAGGCTTTTATAAACTGAATTTCAATGTCTAATCGGCCATTTCAACAAAAAAAGGAGTAACATACACTAAATCACTGAATTCCAGTGGTAAAAAACCCTATAAACCCCATATTTATACCAAAAATCTCCAAAAAATTGCATATTAACAAAAATCTTGTGTATAAAAATCTCTCCAAGTCGCATTCACATAATTTCCCCGAAAGAAAAGACAAACATGAAAATAAAACTGCAATAAAAATGTTTTAATGGCTAAAATGAGCCGAATTGCTTCGAAATTGCCTGAAAAATGCATTAAAAAGGCTTTCACACGCAAACTTCTGATCTACACGTGCCCATCCCCATTAAAATGCACTCGATATCGCTAGAATAAATGAATTCCACTTGTTTCTAATTCAACAAAACCTCAAATGGAGTGGAATTCATAGCAAAAACTCTGAAAAATTCACTGCCTCGTTATCATATCCTTTAAAACCCCAAAAAATCCTCGAAGATCTCTACCTGTACTGTGATATCACTAGTAGGAAATTTGATAGTGAGATCCAAGAGCTCCTCCTCCACGTACAGCTGCTGGAGCCGTTGGAGGAAGAACGTCCCCCAGTTGTCGACCTTAACTTGCTTCAGCCCTGGAGCCTGCACCTGCTTGACGTTCGTCGACTGCATTTTCACTCGAGAGTACTTGAAAAACGATCAGAAATCGTTACTCACAGCATGCCACACACTTCGATCACCTCAACGATTGAAAACCCCTTTAGTGTGCCCCAAAGAAGGCAGACGAGAGCTTCTCAGGACGATTTCCCACCAAAATGCCCAAAAATAAGCCCCAAACAATTTATTTACGTCACGTTATCATCAAACAGGCCCTTTTCTCCCAGAAATGACGGACAATTGTGAAGTTTACGATGGAAAATCGCTAAATGTTATCAATCGAAGAGGATAATAACCTAATTCACCCCAAGCGCTAGTCAAAAAACTTCACTTCATTCGGAGGAAAAGTGAATCCTAAATTGGGCCACGTAATGAGTTACCCTGGAATATCCGTCACCGCAACGAAACAATCGTCGACATCAGTCACGACAAAAACTCGATCGACGATAATTTAAACAATAAGTGGACATTATTTTAGCCGGGCTATTTGTCCACTAACCCAAATATATTTATCTCAATGGCCAAGCGTACCTTTTTCCAACTAAATTCTCCTTTTACACTCGGCTCAGCTCCATCTCTTACGGATACCAACAGTAGACGTGCCAATATGGCGCAAATGGATTTTTTGGGTTTACAGACAGATGGAGTTGTTCAACGGTTTCTTGGAAGTTCAAAAGTCATCGACAGTTTTTTGACGATTCTGCGGATTTTGTTGCATAATTTTTTGTCGTTTATGCAGAATTCAGCGGTTATTAGTACTTTTTCGGTTGGTGATGGGAATTTCGATTGCTACTTGTGAGGTTGGTGAGAAATAATTATTTTCGGTGTCGAGTGAAGTGGGCGCAGGTGGATCGACGTGAAGTCGACGACGCGTGGACAGTTATTATTGTTATTATCGCCGATTTGTTCTCCTGTTGGGTGAGTTTTGGAGTGATGATTATTTGGAGGGCTCGCGGAGTCATTTCCGGGGAGAAATGAGAACTGATTGTAGATTTTTTTAAGTTATTGTTGACGTGAGTTGTTGGAGGGGCAATCGCTTGAGAAAAGAGTGATTTTCCGTGAGCTTTAGCCGCCGGAGGCGCCGGCAATGTTATGGCCGTGTTTGTGAAGGTCAAAAGAAAATCTAGATGATGAGAATTTTCTCCTCTGAATCTATAGAAAATTTAAAAAAAAACAATTTTGTTTATTTTTTCGAGGTTATGGATAGCGAATTTATTATGTCGAATTTATTGTGTCGAAGATTTTTTTTGGGATTGTTCATGTTTGATTTGATCTGCAATTTTCGAAGCTGGGGGATGTGATTTATGAATTTCAGGCAACGCATGGGCATTTCAGATGTAATTTTCCTTATCTCTGATATGTTCTCCTGTCAAATAAAAATCAAGGCAAAGAAAATTATACATTCTAAATTTTTCGCTCTCTGAAAAATTGAATTATTGAATATTTTTCATTCCTCTTGTTCCTGTTTTCATTTAGGATTTATTTCCCATTAACCGTCGACTTCCGGTGGATTTTTCGTTATTTTAGGTTCCATGGAAATTTAAATTGTATAAGAGTCGATGGATTTCAAGGGTTGGGGCTTTGGTTCGTCATTTCCAAGCACTTGGTTGTGATGTAAATAAAGGGAGACCGAAATATCATGCGAGTACCCCATTACGCTCTCATTATACATAATATTGCGGGCAATTACTATTTGCGCTCAATTGGTAGTGATTTGAGTGAGTTAAGCCATCGTACGACCTGTCGTTTCAAATATCAGGCAAATTCGATATTTTTTCACGAGATGATATTCACGAAGAGTAAAAATAGAAGAAGTCATCCGCAGAGATTGTCCTCACCCCTTTCTTCAAACAGAACAATATTCAGGAGAAGTAAATCCATGAATTTTAATTTTTCCACATGAATTATCCTCTTGAGATTAAACTCTATAAATTCCTCCTGCAGAATAAATTGAAAAAAATAAACTTATGAATTGTTTCCTATTCAGTACTTTTGCAGTGATTTTTTTAAATTAAAAAATCTGCGCAAAATGTGTCAAATGAATTATGCATCANTTGAGAAAAGAGTGATTTTCCGTGAGCTTTAGCCGCCGGAGGCGCCGGCAATGTTATGGCCGTGTTTGTGAAGGTCAAAAGAAAATCTAGATGATGAGAATTTTCTCCTCTGAATCTATAGAAAATTTAAAAAAAAACAATTTTGTTTATTTTTTCGAGGTTATGGATAGCGAATTTATTATGTCGAATTTATTGTGTCGAAGATTTTTTTTGGGATTGTTCATGTTTGATTTGATCTGCAATTTTCGAAGCTGGGGGATGTGATTTATGAATTTCAGGCAACGCATGGGCATTTCAGATGTAATTTTCCTTATCTCTGATATGTTCTCCTGTCCAATAAAAATCAAGGCAAAGAAAATTATACATTCTAAATTTTTCGGTCTCTGAAAAATTGAATTATTGAATATTTTTCATTCCTCTTGTTCCTGTTTTCATTTAGGATTTATTTCCCATTAACCGTCGACTTCCGGTGGATTTTTCGTTATTTTAGGTTCCATGGAAATTTAAATTGTATAAGAGTCGATGGATTTCAAGGGTTGGGGCTTTGGTTCGTCATTTCCAAGCACTTGGTTGTGATGTAAATAAAGGGAGACCGAAATATCATGCGAGTACCCCATTACGCTCTCATTATACATAATATTGCGGGCAATTACTATTTGCGCTCAATTGGTAGTGATTTGAGTGAGTTAAGCCATCGTACGACCTGTCGTTTCAAATATCAGGCAAATTCGATATTTTTTCACGAGATGATATTCACGAAGAGTAAAAATAGAAGAAGTCATCCGCAGAGATTGTCCTCACCCCTTTCTTCAAACAGAACAATATTCAGGAGAAGTAAATCCATGAATTTTAATTTTTCCACATGAATTATCCTCTTGAGATTAAACTCTATAAATTCCTCCTGCAGAATAAATTGAAAAAAATAAACTTATGAATTGTTTCCTATTCAGTACTTTTGCAGTGATTTTTTTAAATTAAAAAATCTGCGCAAAATGTGTCAAATGAATTATGCATCAGTGATTTCATCAATTGCCCACGATTGCAGAATCCATCAGCAATGCCCCAGCATGACGCTAGACATAGCCGACATTAAAGCCAAGATCTTGAAGTTCTTAAACTACAGATCAGTGAAGCATGGTCTACCATTCGTATTATTTATCGTAGGAGGCTCCTTTGGACTCCGAGAATTCACAAACGTAAGGTAAGAATTATCAACTGCACTCAGAAACTGCGAGATCACGATATTCACGAATTGAAAAATTGAATAAATAAACCTAACGCCTTTGTCACTAACTCGATAAGAATTCCGTTACCTAAAATATTCAGCAAAACTAGTTATTCTTTTTCTCCAGTATCCCTTTAGGTAAATGTGCCTACACTGAGAGAAAAGTGACAAAGTTCTCAAACAAGTCTTACCAGTGCCAAGAAAATAGTTTTTTAAAAATTATGAAAACAGGATTTTTCTGTGCCAAACATGCAGAGAGTGCGCCGGAATGAAAATTTTTTGCGAAACGAGGGATAGTAGTTTTTCGTTTCGGCTGTCTAATAATCACAGAGAAGAAATGAACCCTTAAATGAAACAATAATAATGATATGATAGCAATCTTGTAACTTGGGGATAAAATATTTGTTGATAAATTTTCCTCTATATGAGATATTTTCATGCTGAAAAGGCACCGTCTGGTGTGAATTATCCGCCTCTCGAGCCAAATATTTCGTCGCTGTCGAAAGCAGAATAATTCTTCATGTTTGAGACTTTCAAATTCAAACCAGACAAATTCTTTTTTGGCAATTTTCAACTAGCGATTCTGTTGGCCCAAACAAGACTTGTTTGACAATCTTTGTTTTTCTCTCAGTGTAAGGTCATTTACCTTAAATTTCCTCCATCGAATTTAGTAATATGGAGATAACTATTAAAATCAATTCCAATAGAATTCTCTTGACATTCAATTTTTTTTTTTTTTGATTAGAGAATTAACATTTTGATGACTTTTCATAACTGTTATCTCCGCCCATTTGCTTGACTCTAGATATGAATATCGAGCGACAAAGCAAGTCCAGGATAATTTGGAAAGCTCGGGGATCCCGATGAAGGAGAAGCATGAGACGACGCTAGAGGCGACGTACGAAACCATTAAAGAGGTAATTCACATAGTCTGCACTGGGGGAAAAATTTCCAAATATGTAGAGCATATTTACTTGGGAGAAGTGAATTATTTTCAATGGCTTAAGTCTCAGAATGTTTGCGCTTCACGAAACCCGAATAAATTCTCATTTATCACTGTCGTTCCACGTTGCATCATGAATATATTACGTATCGAAACATCAGAAGTGCATTAAAAAAAATAGAATTGTTTTTTTGGTGGATTTTTCTGTACAATTTATTTAGTTCATTGAGATATCTTCTTTTGTTTGAGTTTATTAATGAAAAGAAAAGGAAAATAGAGTGGAAAAAATTAGAAGATTCATGATGGAATTCCACTGCTATTTTCTAAAACTATTAGAATTTTCAATAGAAGCTCAATAGAATTTTCTTGCAAATTCGTTAGATTTTTGTATTAATTTCTTTCGCGCGTAATGACTTCATTCGATACGAGAATACAGTTATAAAATCATAATCATAAAATCAAATGAATGAATGCAATTGGAGAACACGCGAGTGGTCTTATTTTCCCCTCGCAAGTACCATAAAAATTACAGGCGCTCCTCTCACATCACGAGAGTAAACAGGAAAGTATTTGTGCGAAATAGTTGAAAATAATTTTCAAAACATTGTTGTTTATTCGCTTCACTGACTCATGTTATTCATTTCCAGTTGGATACGGATAACTGGGAAAATAAGAGAATTGCGCGGCCATGGGAGCCAGAGACGCTGAAGACTTAACTAAGTGATTAATTATAGCTGTTTAAATTGAATAAATGACTCCAATTTAATGCATTCGGACACAACTCGAATTATTTTCCACAAATTGAATGCAATGAAAAATAACCAACGACACGATTCGCTGAACAAATAACTCATTATTTTTTTTACATAATTCCAATAATATTTCATAATATTTCACGTAGAAAATAGGAATACAAAAATCGGTAAATTGTCAAATTTTGAAATAGTTGACAGGAATATTTCAAATTTTCGAATTTTTATTCGAATTTATAATCAACCCGAAATTATCACGAAAAATATTATATCATCACGAAAGAAATATTATTTTTTTGAACATTCGTTGTTCATCAATAAATAATTGAAATTATTTAAACTTTCGGAAATTCTGAATATGAATAAATTTGTTACGATTCCAAACAAATGATTTTTATGGTGGAAAATTAATTGTTTATAAATTATTTATAAAAAATACTCGTAATTGTCAAAAATTCCACTTTTCAATTATTTCATCAATCTTCCTCCAGAACTAAACTTTCTAATATTTTTTCCATTTTTGAATGTTTTCTAACGGTTCAATATCGACATTCAAATTCAGACCTGCAACGTTTAAATAATAAAATCATGGAAAAATGCCTCGAAGCTTAGGGTCAAATGGAGCTGAAATAAAAGCTCTGATGTTCGATTACAAAAATAGAAATGCATTTAAACCCAAATGCAAATAAATAATGATAAAAAAATAATAAAAATCACGAATAATTAAATGCTAATGGTACACATTTATAATGATTATAAATTGGAATTTTTCACTGGAGAAAAAATCCTTAAACAGAATGAATTCGACAAAAATTTCCCCGAAAATTCTCGTGAAAATTCAACACGACGAGAGAGCCCCTCCGCAAGGCTATCACAATGAAAAAAAAAATAAAAAATAAAATGACCAAGAATTTTCCCCTCAACATCCTCGGTCTCCCTAATCGACCCCACGTGACACAAATTAAAGGGAAAATGTTTTTTATAAACCCGAAGGGGACTTTAAACGGATGTAACAAGCGAGTGAGGGAAGCTCATAATCGTGGGAGCGAGCGATGAAGCCATTACACCGACACAACCCCAAACCCACACGATAAATTCAAAAAAAATTCTCGCCAAGGTGAGAATCCGTAAAGTCCACATGGCGCAGAGGATCTAAGGCGCCTGCGCAGTGGCTCATATTTCAAAACTGCAAGACCATGCCGATTGTTTTTATTTCGAAAACAACGACGCAATGTGCAATAATAATAGCATAAGTTTATTCTGACATTGAGTCCAGTGTCACGATGCACCAGACGAATGAAAGAGAGGAAGGGAAGACGTTCTTCTTTCGTTGGACGTTTTTTATCGCCAAATTGATGGCTCGTAGGACAGACAATACGAATGATTATTTTCCGAGTCAATATTTGATGAATGTTACATGATAATGACGATAAGTCATGCAAGTGGAAACAGTCGGCGAGTGCATGAACGTACGAGCATGTCAATTGAATTTGTGGATAGACGAAAAGTGGTGGTACGTGTGGGTAGGGGGTTGCTATGATTTTACAAACGAGAGAGTAGAGGAGTGAACAAGGACACTTTGTTGCATGCAGTTTGCACGGCACAACGAGCAATGGGTGATCAGTTTGTTCGTGTTTAATCATCAGTTATGTCATGAATGGCGAGCCAAGGTTGGCCGATCGTTGCTTGGTTTCGTTGAGGGGGAAACAAAATCTACCACTTGCTTCCTTCCATTTTCATACATAAATGTTGCTGGAACTGTCATAACGCTGTATTGCCTCGTTGTGCGTTATCAGTTGCTGTAGTTATCCCAGTTGTTAACCATCGTCCATCGACGACGTATCGTATCAGCAGGAGGAGATCTGGTCAAGTTATTGTGAGACTGGCTGCCGGAGAGGTGAGTTGGTGCCGTTTTTTATCACTTTAATTCGTGACTTTTTGACGGTTTTTGGAGGCTCGATTTTTTGAGTTGAGGGATGTTTTTAAAAATTTTCGCCATTTTCTGATTTTTGAAGTTATTTTTAGTTTTTTTATTACGTGAATTGCAAAATTTTTCACATTTTTTTTACGGTCTTGATCTATTTTTTTGGGAATAGATTCTGTTTTGAGGAGTTTTCGAAATTTTTCGTGAACTCTTGACCATTTTTGGATTTTTGAGTAGTCTGAATAGTCTTTGAAAATGAATGGCGATTATATTTTTTGTTTACTGTTTTTTATCGCTTGAATTCCTGATTTTTTGACATTTTTTTACGGTCTTCATCTATTTTTTTGGGGGAAAGATTCTTTGTTGTGAGCCATTTTCGTACGTTTCGAATAGTAAATTTGTGAACAAGTCTTTGAATCGTGATGAGATTTGTGATTTACTGTTTTTTATCACTTGAATTTCAGATTTGTTTACGTTTTTTTATAGTTTTGATCAATTTTTTTGGGGATAGATTTTTTTTGAGCTCGAGGGATGTTTTTTTTTTAATTTTTCGCGAACTCTCCGCCATTTCCGTACATTTCGAATAGAAAATTTGAAGATAAGTTTTTTGAACAGCCTTATATGAATTTCCATTGCATTTGTTGTTATTTTCGACTTTATCTCCTCATGAATATCAATTTTTTCGCTGAATATTCTAGTTTTTCACATATCATATTATATATTTCTCGTTATCAAGTCATAATTTGAACACAATGATTCTTCCAACCGCCAGTATAATTATCAATATTCCTCCTACTCCTCCAGGCTATTTTGCGGTTCTCAGCGATTTTACCCTCCAATTGAATTAAAAACACAAATCTTCACTACTTGCCAACGTTTCGAGCGGTATATCCGCTCCTCATCAGGGCAATTTATTTATATTTATCTACAAAGAAATCATAAAAAATTCTCCTATTACCATATCTCTATATAGAGACAATTCCACTGTTTACATTCACAGAATCTGAATTACAAAGTATTTAACAACTCAAGGGTTTAGCAGGCAAAATGGCCTGGAGGAGTAGGAGGAATATTCATAAGTCATAATTTGATTCAATTCTTCACAATCCTATTCCATTTCCTATTCAATTTCCATTTCAATCGCTTTTCTCATTATTTCAACAGATCGAAATTGACGTGAGAAGGGAAAATTGTTGGGACCATTATTCTATTTTCCCACTCATTTACATAAATTCTATAACAAAAAGATTTTATGAGCTCTAAAAAATTATTCCCTTGCACTTGACCATTCCGTTTTTAACGAGTTCTTCCTTCATTGAATTCATTAATAAATTACGAATGTTTTCGCAGCGAAAAATTCCACATTTTTCTCTACTCCAGTCATAAACTCGAGGTTTTAGACACTGGGAGAATTTCGCGACACCTCCGAGCGTAAAAAACAATAATGAAACAAAGAAGTTTCATGGACAACAAAGCCTCAGTGTCACTGCGTCACTCGTCGCAATTGATATATCTACGTATTTTTTACCTGTCACCTCATTTATGCGTTTACTCCCATTCTATTAAAAAAAATAGAACGGAAAAAACATTAGAACCTGTTGACTTGTTTTTTTAAAACGATCTGTTTGCGCTCAGTGCCTAATTGAAATTCAAACATTTAAGGGAACAATTAAAAATTATGCGGAATGTAAGTACTGGAAATTTTTCAAAGTTTTTCTGTGGATCAAAAAGTTAATAGTGAAGAAATAAAAATTGATTAGTTGAAATTAATGTAGAGAGGGTTAAGGGGGAAATTTAATAGAAATGTCTTCAGTTTTCGGGAGGAAATTCTTTTGAAATTCTACAGGAATTAATTTCACGGACGAAAAAATTCAATAGAAATAATAATCAGCCAAAAACTAATAGAAAGTTTAATAGAAATTCAATAGAATTTTCTAACGAATTCCCTAGGTTTTTTTATTAAATTTTTTCGTGCGTGTTATATTCGTCATTTATGCTGATTTTTTGATAGACATTTAATAAAAAAAGTCTGGAGATTCATCAATTTAGATGAATTTACACTAAACAAAGACGGGAAAATCCATTGAGATTCTGGAATAGAATTAATTTCTATTCGTAAAAAAATACAAAAACTCGAATACATGAAATGAATCATTGACACGTGTCATCTGACTGAAATACAAGTGATAGAGTACCTCCCGAAGCCCTGACAATTATGTAATTCCCCTGGGAAAACTCGATTGATGTAAAACCTAGAAACTAAGCACTAGAAATCGACGATTTTTTCGAGATTTTTCATCAATGGCAACAGCACGAAAACTCTCCACTGATAGAGAGTACTGTGTAATCCCGCTATCACTTGATTTATCAGCTAGTTCGACCTCGACATACGCTGAGATCGTTATTTTTACAATTTATCACGATTAGGATAAAGTCGATAGCCCCTGAAACACGTGATGAGGCTCAATGTTACGATTTTGCCTGGTAAATTCCTCCGTTAATCAATCGTCGTTGATCCGTGGAGATACAGAAAACCGGGGGTAAAAAATAATGATTCAGATAAAAAGACTCACGAGAGACTAATTATCACGTCATTACACGGCGAATTGAATTCCTAGAAATTTATGGGCACTCAGTAATTAGTTGAACTTGTAACTCGACCGTTTGCACGCACATGTGAATTACGATGCACATGTGGACAAATGGAATGACTGGGTAAACACTATTGAGGTCAATTTGAGAAAATTTCATCAAATATTGGGGATGAAAATTATCGTGAAAGCGTTAAGTGATCGATATTTGCATAATCTTGTTGAAGAGGAATTTGCTAATAGAGTTGGTGTCATGGAGTGTGGGGACAGCTTGAAATTGACCATTTTTATTTTCATGAAAGACTTACGGTGAAATTTCGTGGAAAAACCCAGAGAATTCGTTGAGAAATTCTGTAGGATTTCTATAGAATTATCCATTTGTTTTTGGTAGATTGTATTGAAGAATTCCGGAGTTTATCGGCACTTTTTAAAAATATAAAAAATTCTATAGAGAAATCAATCGAATTTAATTTTCTATAGAATTTTTTGACGGTTTTTAAAACATTTTTTAAGGAGAAGAAATGAGAATTTAAGGAAAACACTTGAACAATTTGGGTCGAGATATTCTTATGGAAAATATCTCAACAGAAAAAGTTGTATGGAAAGATAAATTACTGATCCATTCTATAAAGTAGTTTCTATGAGGAATTCGTTGAGAAATTCTGTAGGACTTCTATAGAATTATCTATTTGTTTTTGGTAGATTGTATTGAAGAATTCCGGAGTTTATCGGCACTTTTTAAAAATAGAAAATATTCTATAGAGAAATCAATATATAATCAAATATAATATAAATCAATATATAATTAAACAGAATTTAATTTTCTATAGAATTTTTTAACGTTTTTTAAAAAAATTTTAAGGAGAAGAAAAGAAAATTCCAGGAAAATACTTCGAAAATTTGGGTCGAGATATTCTTATGGAAAATATCTCAACAGAAAAAGTTGTATAGAACGATGAATCCATTCAGACGATCCATTCAATAAAATATTTCTATTGGAAATTTTCTATGAAAAAAAAAAACAATAAAACAGTATAATTTTCGAATGGAATAGTCCAAAAACAAATAGAATTGAATGTGAATTCGATCTGAACGATAAAAAAAATTATCCCCATAAATTCTTGCTTAAAAACTTAAATTATATAATTTTCGAGCGAATACACTAGATCTTCGACTGAACGCCCTTCATCCGTGGCAATATAATAATTCACAGAGAGAAATATCTCACGGCTCTAAAAGTTCAAAGACTCATGCATTTGAAGAGAAATCAAAACTGTCTATTCTGCCCCACCAGCTCTCGAAACGAAGATCAATAAGGAAATAGGAGAATGTCAGAGAGGTTTTGGCATACCTTGAAAGTACAAGAGCGAAAGTGTCTAGTCCACTGGAAGGCACACTTCCAAGCTGGCCTTGAATAAAAACCCCTCTCCTAACTACACACATCGAAATTTCCTCACACTAAAGAAAAGGGAAAATAGAGTGTTGGAGTGTTGTTAAAATTTTATTAAATAATTCTCGTTTTTTTGCACCTATTCTGTATTTTTTGATAGAAAAAAGTCAATTGATTTTTATTTAAGACAATGTATTCCCAAGAATTTGGGAATACATTGTGTCAAATTCTTGGGAATACATTGTCTTAAATAATTCTACTACACATGATAAAATCCAAGAAGAAAGTTAAGAAATTCACATCTAGGAATTCTTATAGAAAAAATTCCAATGAATGAGTTAGATAGAAAAATCCTCATTTACAGATTTCTTCACTCAAAAAATATATATTTTCAAAATTATTCAACATTCCCATATTTTTTTCAAATACATATTTAAACACAGGAATGTTAAATAATTTTCAATAAAATTTCTCAAACAAAGTCATTATTTTATGTTAAATCTTTTCCTGTGTCGATTCCCCCAACACAATTTCCATGCACTCGCATCAACAAACGCAGTCATCAAGGAAAACATTAATGACGAAAAAATCGCAGTCTCAATTGCCAGGAATTAAATGAAAAAAATCAAGGCCAAAAAATGAGATCTAGAGCAAAATAGGCGCACAGCTCTGGGGAATCCGACTCCCTTGATACTTTTAATTCATAACAACCGATGAAAACTCATAAATAATCGAGTTCACGCAATGTTTGCACGGGATGAGTCATCCGAATTAATTAACATTGATGATTAACGGGGAAACGTAATACTAGATAGGAAAGTTATTGATACCGCGTCCGATCACAGCTCGTGCGATTATTTAAATCGTTTATCGATATGTAAACGGGGGAGTCCAAAACAAAAAATCAAAACATAAAGTGAGAAGTGAATATAAATCCGTTAGTGCAATTTATAGCTTGTTTTTAATGGCCGATGGTGTTTTCATTCGATTAT